TGTCGATAATAGGGGTTATAGCAGGATTTTACTTGTTTTTTTATGTTTAAAAATGCATGTCATCGTATCCAAATTGCGTGGACCGATGTTCATGATGTCAATCACTGGATTGTCTGATCCAGTTTCGAGTATTTACAGACCTCCGTCATATATTTGGAATATTGCTGAGTGCGGCGTTAAACAACAAACAAAACTACTACCACGATCACCAGTATAAATACTACTGACACTATTATCAATTCTATCACCATCACAACTACTGCTACTGCTATGGCTACTACTGTATTTCTGGCAGCTGTATGGCGGTCGGGTAGCCTAGTGGTTAAAGCGTTCGCTCGTCACGCCGAAGACCCGGGTTCGATTCCCGACATTGGTACAATGTGTGAAGCCCATTTCTGTGCCCAAAGCGGCGTAAAACCATACTCAATCACTCACTCTGCCTGTCGCAACACTGAACTTCGTTGACATTAGTTCTTCAAACATTTAGTTACGGAAAAGACGCGTCTTCAATGAACTCCAGTTTCTGATCACGTCTTATCAACTCCTCGGGAAATATACTCTTTTCATGGGTACCGTTTTTTTAAATAACAGTTACATAGTGGCTATGCAAGTATGGTTTTCTTCAGCATGCGTGCGTGAAACCTGGCACAAGTGGCTTCATATTCGACACGCTTTATGACAATGAAGTTCTGTATTTCGTGGAAAACGCGTCATATATATTACCGTATTCGACGTAATAAGCGCCCAGGGCGCGCTCAAAGTTAGAAATAGGGGGCTCTTATTAGAATGTTATTTTGGTGGAAAAAAACAGAGTTGAAAGATAAATTTCGTGGTTTATGCTGACAGCCTGAAATGTTTATGTACGACAGATATGTATTTCCAGAATTAAATGCCCATAATTAAGGGTTCATATAACACACGAGTGCGTATTACACGCGAATAAATAAGTCTTGTGTACATTGATCAATCGGAAGGGGTGCTAATTGGGATTGTTCACTAGCCAATATTTTAGCAAATGTCGCCTTGGGCGCTTATTAGAGCGGAGCGCTTATTACGTCGAATACGGTAATAGCTTTGTCTTATCACTATGAATATACTGGGCAAGTGTATTGTAACGTTTTGAAAGATCGGATCATGATATATGTACAGGTTAGCGCCTTCTTCAAGGACGAAATAAACCCGTTAAGATCCGGGTTCGAAAAGTTGGAGGATTATTTGTATTGGTTTTGAATGTCTGTTAATGTTCTCCTTGCAACAAAGTAAATAACATACTAGCCTTATTGAATCAAAGACATTGTTATCCTCGTAAAGACTTCACGGCTATAACATACTCCGTTGTGGAGAACGAAGAGACCACATGCTGTCAAGTTTTGTAAGACCCGTGAAGATCCGGGGTAGAACAGGTCTTCAGAAACCCATGCTTCCCGTGAAAGGCGACTATGCTGGTCGTAAGAGGCGAATAACGGGATCGGGTGGTCAAGCTCGCTGACTTGGTTTGATGCATGTCATCGTATCCCAATTGCGGGGACGTCATGACGTCAATCACTGGATTGTCTGATTTACAGAGCACCGTCATATAGCTGGAATATTGCCGAGAGCTAAGCAATAAACATTACTACTACAACCACCACCAGCAAACGTGCGTAAAGAACAGCGACATGTTTTGGGTAAAACCTACTACTACTACTACTACTACTAGAGTGATGATAACCTCATATATCGAAACAGAACCCCATGAAACAAGTTCCAACGTTTAATGTATCTCTTAAAACTACACTACAGTGACTATTTTTCAGTTTTACCCACCAATTCTGGACCAAGTCCACTTTAATATGTCAATCTTTATTTCTAATTAACCAAGTACACAACGTTTCTATTCTGAATTCCCATACTGGGGCGAATCATTAGCACATGCTGCCACCTGACAACTTCAGCACACAACTAACTCATAACTCATTTGAATTAACGCTCATCGTGCACGTGAAAATCAATACTGTCATGTTAATTTCAAAGCTCTTTGGGTGCGTTATTGCTAGCGCTAATACCACCCCCGCCACCACCACAACCCCCCCCCCCCCCCCGCCCCCAACACACACACACGCACACACACACTCACACCACTACTACTACTACTACAAACACACACTCCCCATCACTACTACTACTACTACTACTACTACTGCCCAAAGCGGCGTAAAACCATATTCACTCAGTCACTAGTTAAGACAAGAATACAGCCATTATCGATGCTTATATTCAAGATCTTCACGATCCGGGTTACTACTACAAGGAAACGTGCGGCAAGAAAAGCGACAATTAAACATTGCGTCTATGTATAGCTAACCTCGATATTTAACGATTATATTATACTATTGCCGTTTAAATTTTTTAAACTTAATATGAGCACATGCAATAATACTACACAATCAATATGTCAAACGCTCCCACTGCGTTACACAATGAGCTAAACATACAGGTCTTGCGTGCCGATCAATCTGGCACACTCCCAACTATTCCGAGGAAAGTATTCGTCACCCATCTGGTATTTGATTTTCTTTATGTTCAGGGACTAAAAATAAACTACTCGGGATTTCAATGATGTCATCCTATTTTCGCTTTCACAATTAAACATTTGGGCCTACTCTACTTTCTCGACATGCAACGCTGACCGCCATATACAGTGAATGAGTGGGTGGGTGGGTGCGCTCGTGCGTGAGTTAGGGGCGCATTTAACAGTATCACGGCGCGTCACCCAAATGTGGGAGGAAAATCAAAAGTGTTCAGGTCTGAAGACGTTAACCACAACGGTGAAACCCACGAACACGGGTATTGTACTGACAACCAAGAAACATAATCGGAGCGAACCGGGATTCGAACCCACAACCGTAGGTTTCTGACGTATTTGAGGGGCGCAACCCTGCACAGAGAATCGCGGCACCTCAAACACGGTGCCACCTATGCCCCTGCTTATGCCAATTAAGGACAGTGTCGTTGACCACTCACCACGATTATTCAATAGTTGGTTGTTAACACTGTCATCAGCAACATTCTAGCTATATGACGTCAGTCTGTAAATAATCGCGTCTGAACCAGACAATCCAGTGATTGATATCTTGAGCATTTGGATACGATGACATGCATCAGCCAAGTCAACGAGCCTGACAACCCGATCCCGTTACTTGTTTCGTACCTCTTCAGTGGTTTGTCCCTTGATTGAATAGTGAGGTGAGGTGAAATTGGATTTAATGTCGCGTCCAAGATTATTGCACTTATATAGCGACGTGCATGCACGCGTGTGTGTGTGTGTGTGTGTGTGTGTGTGTGTGTTTCTGTCTGCTTGTACTAGTCCGGACAGATGCCAATTTATAGTGCTAGCTCACTGAGATACCATGCCACAGTTTAACATGAATACCCCACTCGGACACAGTATACTGACTCCGGGCCAACCAGCCCTTGTTGTAGCCCCTTAATGCCGAGCGCCAGACAGGGTAACAACAAGTACCACCTTTTAACGTATTTTAGTATAACGCCACCGGGGATCGAACCCCGGACCTTCCGCTCTTCCAGCAGACGCTCTACCACAAGACCACGGAGGCAGACTGATTGAATAGTGACTAAACTTGCAAACAACACATGATTACAATAAACATCAACACACCCTTTGCTCCTTGTAGAATTGACGGAGGCCTATTAACAGGTGTAAAATCAAAACAAACCAACTGGAAATATACTATCAAATATCAAGGATCCAAGCCATGATGCTGAATGACACCCAAAAAAGCAAAGTCATAGATGCTGACACCCAATCCCCATTTTGGTCACTGAGCCTGATGCCTGATCCCATTTTAGTCACAGAGGCTGACACCCAATCCCCATTTAAGAAACAGAGGCTGACACCCGATCCCCATTTTAGAAACAGAGGCTGACACATGATCTCCATTTGAGTCACAGAGGCTGACACCTGATCCCTATTTTAGAAACAGACTGACACCCGACCCCATTTGAGTCACAGAGGCTGACACACAATCCCCATTTGAGTCACAGGGGCTGACACCCTGTCCCCATTTGAGTTAGAGGCTGACACCCGATTCCTATTTGAGTCACAGAGGCAGACACCTGATCCCCATTTGAGTCACAGAGGCAGACACCTGATCCCCATTTGAGTCACAGAGGCTGACACCTGATCCCCATTTGAGTCACAGGGGCTGACACCCGGTCCCCATTTGAGTTAGAGGCTGACACCCGATTCCTATTTGAGTCACAGAGGCAGACACCTGATCCCCATTTGAGTCACAGAGGCAGACACCTGATCCCCATTTGAGTCACAGAGGCAGACACCTGATCCCCATTTCAGTCACTGAGGCAGACACCTGATCCCCATTTTAGTCACTGAGGCAGACACCTGATCCCCATTTTAGATACATAGGCCAACACCAAATCCCCATTTTAGTCACAGAGGCTGAGACCTGATCCTGATTTTAGTCACAGAGGCTGACAACTGATCCCCATTTTTGTAACAGAGGCTGACAACTGATCCCCATTTTTGTAACAGAGGCTGACAACTGATCCCCATTTTTGTAACAGAGGCTGACATTACCCCATTTTAGTCACTGAGGCTGACACAACCCCCATATTAATCACAGAGGCTGACACCGGATCCCCTTCGTCACTGAGTCAGACATCACAGAGTTGTATAAGTTTCTCCATGACATCAATACAATTATTATCAAGAAGAAGTTGATTTCAACTAAAAAGGGAGTATTTTCAGCTGAGCTAACTCCTGTGTAAATTTTACTAGACTCTGGCTTTGGATCAAGCAGTGGTCAATGGTATCAGCAGTACCATACACCTTCAGTGTACGAATCACACAATCAACCAAGGGACTTGTTCTTAGTCAGCACTCTGTCCAAACATGAACATTAATATATCACAAAGTTGTGATTATGTTTTAAATAATGTTTGCCATCTCTGAACTTCCTAAATAAAAAATCAAAAGCAAGTTTCAGTGAGTAAATTTATTTTCTCAAGATATCACAGACTGTACAATACGCCGGCCATGTGCACACCCGCTATATTGATATGTACATTGTTTAAATGAGGCTGTAGCAATCGATGCCCTGCTAATTTCACTCAACATGATACACATAGTAAAAATACATCTCGTACAATATACTGCCTTTGGACTTAAAAATATTGGACGGAAGAAAGTCAACAATATACTGACCCACAATTTACTAAAATAAGTATCATAATCATAAATGAGCTTGTTTGGTCTAATGTACATACTAAAAAAAAGAAATAAACTTCACAATGCCTGTTTTAAAACCAGACTGGAAAATCCAAAAACCAAAATGTACCCTACATAAAAACTTTAGAACAAAACATTGGCCCCAAACATTTCAGTTTCGGTTAAATGAGGCATTTCTTAAAAATTATATTTTCATAACGTGTATCAAATAAAAATGTTTTACTTCCAATGTTGATGCTTAGCTTCTGGCAATAAATAGATGGGTAGATGGGGATGCTAACATGTTAGGATGGAGCAGACACAAGTCCTGCTGGACCATGTCCAAGGGTCTGACCGCCGACTGTACTCTCGAGGGGCTTGAAGCCAAGTTCTTCTGTTGGAATGCCGAACTGACGTAGCTTGGACTCATAGGTCCTCAGCAGGTCATTGTGAGCCTGATGCGAAAAGAACGGATGTCATTACAAGTATTCAAAACAATTATATTTTTGTGCATTTTGTAAATTTGTAAGTAAAATACAACCAGTATGATATGTGCGCCTATAAAGATCTAAATTATGTTTCTGCAGACATTGTTATAGGAGAAGGGAGATAACTCATGTAAACTCCATACTGCAATTATTTTGATGGATTGCATGTGAAAATATACTTGATCTAGGCCAGGAACATTAAGCCCTAAATTATACACACCCTACATTAAGCAAACACATACAGTTCCTTTATAGTTCTAGCAGCCTTTCAAAACTCTCCAGAGAATGATTTTATTCCAGAAGTACAACTAAAGATTTGTTTGTTTGTTGTATAGCGCCGCACACTCAGCAATATTCAAGCTGTATAACAGCGGTCTGCAATTATCAATTTTGGACCAGACAATCCAATGATTGACATCATGAGCATCGACATACGCAATTGGGATACGATGACATGCATGAACCAAGTCAGCAGGCCTGACTGCCCGATCCCGTTAGTCGCCTCTTACGACAAGCATAGTCACCTCTCACAGCAAGCATGGGTTACTGAAGACCAATTCTACCCCGGGTGTTAATTGAAAACCACACAATAGCATGTATTAGCCTTTGCTTTACCTTGCACACTCTGGCCAGTTCGTATTGTAGATCCTTGATGGCACTGTTCTTGGAGTCAAGCACGTCCTAGAATATCAAGAACAAGATGTAACATTTGGCCTACAGATCGAATTCAAATGGACAAATGTATCAACCAAACCATGTGACAAAGGCAATAATTGATGAGATTTTATTCAAGCCCACAATTTAGAAAAAAATGTTGCCCATCATTGTACCTCATATATACAGGTCTCAGATCTATTGCAGGACTCTAATTTGGGGCGGATTCTCAATGTTATATGACATGCTTGAGATGTGATGTCATGTAAGTTAAACGTCTATTACCGATAGACAAAATGAAGGTTTTCTTATGGCGGATTAATGCTGGTAGAGGAAGAGACCAGTATCTAAAGATCCTAATGCTGTATCATTTTGGAATGGTTTTCAAAAAATAATTACTCAGTCGGAAGTGGGGAAGTGTGAACATATGCAGGATTTTATCAACTCCGGCACATGAGAGGATGGTGCAGAAGGTCTTAGAAAATTATTTCTATGACGAAACTTTGGGGAATGCTTTAAAAAAAGTTCTGACATGCAATCCCTGCACATGATGCTGCTGCTCTAAATGGGACATGATTAAAATAATCCAGAGAAATCACAACATTGATCATCGAATATCTGCCGCTTTATTTGAACCTATATGACATTTAGCGCTATAGAAACTGCCTGTTATTAGTATCATATGATAATCTGCCATAGATCTGAGTATACGCCAATATCTGCCCTATTTGTGGAATCTGCTATAGATATGAGAATCCACCACGAACAGAGTCCTACTAAAGATCAGAGTCCTACATATATCTTCACAAGGATACACGGTAGGAGTAGAATTCTGTCACATGTAACTATGCAAGCATGGAAACAGCTTTTTGGAAATAATGAAATTTGCTACCGGAATATGCTGTCAGTAATCGCCTTATTCTGTTCAAAATATATTCCCCAAATGAGTTCGTCATAGTGTAGTTATACATTTACTTTCAGTCTTCTGGATCACCTATGAAATTTCCGAATGTATAAATGTTAAGTACACTTCAAAAAGAAGGTAGGTGCATCCGTCTACTCCAAATCTGGATCTACGTATGCTATGCGACTACAGCGTACCTCTAACTTCCGCGTGACAACGGTGAGAGCGGTGGGGTCAAGGTTAGATGCAGATAAGACTTCGTTCAACTGGGCTTCCTTCTTCTCCAAGGTGTCGGCCAAGGCGTTCAGCTTCTTCTCCAGGAGGAGATTCTTGAAGTTACTCTTCTGTTGAACCTCATGGATTGCTTTGACGAACTTGCGGTACAGATCGTCTCTCTCCTCCTGAGTCTGCAGCATCAAACAAGAACATAGACATCCTCTCACATTCTCTAAACTCTTAAAGAATTATCTAAGCCTAAAGATTTTGTCACAAGGCCTTATCTTAAGAAAGTTTACAGGTAATTTTATACAGTTATTATATCATGGTTATTGGGAGACACCGCTGGCCATTTATCTATGCACTGCAGTTTGATGTGGATTTCGTCCCTTAGGCAGCCTAGATAGTAAGTTTGAATCTCTGTTCATCCTGATTAGGTTTCTAGGTTTGTCATCACCAGACCATGCTTGTGGAATTCACCAAAGTGGTAAACATTTGAGACTTGCATCACTTTCCTCTTTTCTCCATCACGTTGACACGCTATATTATACATGAAATTTTGTTTTAAGAGTTTAACCAAACTCTCTCCTGGTCACGGACCAGTGCTGTTGTACAAATATGGTAGAAATAAACTAAACTAATCAATGCAATTCAAGAATAAAGTATGATTTTTCATTTGCGTTACCTTCTGGAATCTCTGTTCTAAGACTTCGTGCTCCCATTTAAGTGCACGGAAATCATCCTCTGTTACACGTAACCTGGCCTTGGTCATCTGCAGACAGAGATTTATAACTAATGATTCAAAATGAACATCAATTAAACAAAAACAATTACTGAGTTTCACAAATAAACAAACAAAATACCATTAATTACTCACGCCCTTCCTGATCAAAGGGACACAACTCCTTCACAAATTACCTCCCCTCGATTAACTCAAATCCACAGATCATCACATATGAACTTAATCTGCTAAACTTCATTCCTATAAAGGTTGTATAACTGCAGTACATATCAATAGCAAGACAACTTTCTAACACTGAATTTAATAAGAGTGATTGGTCTCTATGTTTGTATTGATAAAATCTAAACAATATTGAGTCATATATATGTATGAGTGATACTTAGACTGAACTTGTATATAGTCTAAGCCACCTCTCTTCCTCCATGTGACAGATGTACTTACACGGAGGGTCTCTTTATCCTTCTCATAGTTGGCGAGCTGTTTGCGGAGGTCCTCCACTTCCTCGCGGGCCTTCTGCAGCGGTTCCGTCAGCCGCTTGTTCTCGGCGATCACCTCCGCCATCTGCTTCTCCATCCGCTCCTCCTTCTTCTTCATGTCCTCAACTTGTTCCTGCCACACAAAATGCCAACTATTGGTCGCGACAATCATGATTTCCTGAATAACCAACACTTTTCAGAGAAGGATCCTGGAGTTTGCAAACGATGGTGTACACATGATACCCAAGTTACGATGTGACTTAGCTGAGGGCGAGTTTAACATGTATGGTATCTGAAAAAAGGTTTGGGGGCATCCATTGAACCATTATTCAAGATCCGCCAATGCTGGTTGTATCTATTTATGAGTACCAAGAACTCTCTGTAATAGCAGTTAGGTTACCACTGTACCATTTGTAAAATAAATTTTTTTGTAAAGCTTTATGCTTATAATAGATTGGAATGTCCATGTTGAATTACTCACTGTCTTAATTACTAGAATGTGTTGGTAAAATATCCACACTATTTCCACTGAAACCATGTCTCCACTACTTGTGTCACATATATTTTGTCAGTTTAAATTATTGGAGCATTCTTTAGGTCAATGATAAATGCTATAGGAAAAATGGGTATCAGCACTTTTCTGACAACCTACACCTTATGCAAATCTGATTCAGGTGAACATGATTAAAAAAGTTCAGACATAATATGTTTAAAATCAGATCTTAGTTCTCACTATCGCAAAACAAAGATCTGAGGACATCCTATTATGGGTCATGTCAGAACAAACTTTCATCCAACCAATCAGAGCATCGCTTACCAGATCAGGAAAGTACCTGTCACAATGTCTAATCTAACCATGCAACCTCGAAAAATTTAACACTGGGTATTCTGAAAGACAGTTACTGGCTTTCCAACTGAATCTGTCAAAATCTCCGCCTATCTCTTGCTTCAGTGGGATAAATATTTGAATGGAAGAGACTTTGCTTGCCCGTGGGAAGTACTGCCACAGTATCTAGGCCATCCAGGTTCATTTTTGAAATTTTGAATCAAGAATTGTCAAAATATTTTTCAAAGCGTAGTTCTCAGTTTGAAACTAGTGCTATATAGCTTGAGAAATCTTATATCTGATTCGCGATTGTCAATTTCATGTCTGTCATTTGATTGGTTGGTCAAAGTTAGCGAAAGGTTGTTTTGACTGACCTGTAACAGGATGTCCTCAGATAGTTTAGTGGTTGTGAGAACTAAGATCTGATCTTAATGAAATTAGTTGAGACAACACCCATAGTATTCAAATGTAAATCAAAGATACTAACTTTGACACAAACAATCTAATTTGGAGTCCTCATCCTCAAGATAATAAACACCAAGTTTTGGAAAGGACAGCGGAACTTGTGCCAGTTCCTAACTGTCGTTTGCTCTTAATACTACATGTCATTTCCCTACCTTGAGTGTGTTGATGAGGGCAAGGTTGTTGAGCGTGATATCATTGTAGTAGTTCTTGATATCACTGAAGGCCTTCTCATGGTTCTTCATCAAGGTGTTGATCTGACCGTTCTTCCTCTCCTCGATCTCATGGATCTCAGTCTTCCTCCTCAGGTCCAGCTCATCTCGCAGAGCTCGCATCTTCTTCTCGTACTTCGACTCAATCTCCCGTGCCTGGCGCTCGAAGTCCCGCCTCAGCTCCGTGATCTGCTCATCATTTTTCTGGAAGAAAACACAACAACATATTTAAAGAACCCTGTGAATTTCAATATTATACTGAAACACTTTTAATCACGAATTTTTGCAATATTTGGCAAAATGGCCACAGCAATCAAATTCATCTGTTCTGTGTATTTAGGCATGAGTAACAATACACTACAGTGTTGCCATCTTGGTTCAAATCTCATTTGATATGTTTTGAGATGAAAATAAGAAAAAAAAAACACATCGTGTCTGATGCTTGAAAACATGTGTTCCCATTGTGGGTCAGTCTATAGTTATCCTGCTACGACAGTATCTATAACATGATGGTATTATATATCCCTCCCTTCACCTTCTCTGAAACACAAAGAGCAAAATGCTTTACTTTCTTACTTTGCTTTACCTTCTAATCTTTACTATGATAATCTGTCATTTTGTTTGTCTGTCAGGGACATAATCAGGAATCTTTTCATCATCTGATTGACTAGGTCGTCTGCTATGGTGGTCGTTATTGTGAAGCCATTGGAAACAAGAACAGCGACCTGATTGGACATCTGGTTTTAATAACAAGGGACACAACTCCTGTTCTTCAAGGGGTGGCGCCACAATCGAAAAAAGGCTTGAAATGGCAAGGGTGAATATTAGGCTTGATTTAGGCTAGAGGACACTCTCGCCTTGGAAAGATGGTAAAAGAGAAAGAGACGTTATCAGATCACTCACCCTCTTCAGATTCTTGATAACATCTTCATGAGCCATCTCCTGCTCTTTGAGTTCCACCTTGAGAGCACGGCGGTCCTTCCGAAGATCCTTCTCCTCGTACTGATGAGTGTCTTCAGCTAATTTCAGAGACACTGCACTCTGTGCCTTCAGCTCTGAGATGTTGTTCTGATGCTCATACAACAAGTGCTTCACCTTTTGTTTGTACACCTGGAATACACAGACCAACGTGTAGGAATGGTAGCAGAATTATCATACTGACCCTTCAGGGATATGACACGAACACATCTTCATTTTGTGACTAAATACTTTCAGGGGTAGATTTATCAACAAATTTGTATGTAGAGAGCAGGGCTTGCTCCTTTTAAAAGTTACTGGCCCTTCCCCAAACTGGTTTATAACTAAATGGTGGAGGCCATGAAGTAGCCGAACGTCAGGTCGTGTAGTCACCTTGCAGGGCTCTGAAAGTTTATAACTCCTAAAACCCAAACAGTTTTTTTCCGGCACTCTGGGATTAAATCTTGGCTTCCATTTGCATCATTTCATGGGGATTTAATGAGCAATTAAAGATGTTGTTGTACACAACATTACAAAATGGCGGCTGGCTGTTATACAACCAAGATGATCAAATTTAAAAAATACAACACACAGGGGCTATCTACTTTACGTTTCAGCAAACCCTTTGTAATTTTAAAAGTATATAGGCCAACAGTGAAATCGACCACTCTACTCTGGGATTAATCTGGGATTTTAAAGTAAAAGCAAATTCAATTTATATTGTGCAAATGGAACAAATATTTTGCTGGTCCTTTTGACTGACAGTCATAGTGAGTCTGAAATTGATTATTTGTAGGTCTACAAAGGTAAGTTTTCTTTACACAACTGAATAATTAATTATATTCTTAATCAATATATGGAAATATATCACAATAATTTGAGATGAAGTATCAGCACCTATAACATTAGAGAAATGTGCCCATGTTGGGAGCTATTACTAACTTCTATGCCTTTACAATGCATGTATATATATTTTTGGATTAAAAATATGGTCTTGTTAATGAGTGAAAATGAGAACAATTTCATCCACGGGTTATCCAACAGGTTATATAACACTATGAGATTGCACACAATGTTTACCATACTTGACGTAATAAGCCTAGTGAACAATCCCAATTAACACCCCTTCTGATTGATCAATGTACACAAGACTTATTTATTCCTATATAATACGTGTGTTATATGCATCCTTAATTATGAGCAATTATAAATTCTGGAAAAATATATCAGTCGTATATAAACATTTCAGGCTGTCAGCATGAACCACGAAATTTACCATCTTTCAACTCCTTTTTTTTATCACAAAATAATATTCTAATAAGAGCACTCTACTTCTAATTTTGAGTGCGCCCTGGGCGCTTATTAGGTCGAATACGGTATCATACCTTGATTTCAACTTGATGTCTCTCTTCTGCATCTTCCATTTCCCGATCCTTATTCCTGAGTTCTGCCTTCTTCTCCTCTAGCTGACGCTTTGTGATCTCCCAGAACGTGTTCACTTTGTCTCGCTCCAGCTGGAAGTAGTTCCTCTCCTCCCGCTCTCGATCCAACTCATCTCGCAGCCGGACAATGTGCTCTTCCAGCTATTATCACAAAATAGGTTAGTTAATAAATCCTTGTTTATGAGTTCATATTTCTTTCTTTAAGATGCACATGTACAACAAATCTCCCAATATGTCTTCATTTCTACTATCCAGAAATACACAAGGAACAGAGTTGAAGTATTGCTTGTGCTAGCAGACCATTATTTTCCCATTATTATAGTTAACAAAAAAATTTAAAAGTACATATGAAATGTAATTTCGTCCATAGTAGGGCTTGGACATGTCCAAATTTACTACACGGGTATCCCTCCCTACACAGATACCCTTCCCCCTACTACACGACCCTACCTAGGTACCCACTGTTGGTCTAAGTTGTGTACAAAATGTTCAGTTGGGGATTGTTTTACTGGAGCAGAGGCAAAAAGTATTTAGATATACTAGCATAAAACAATCTGATCATGAACACACTGAAGTTGATTTTTGTTTTGTTTGTTGTTTAACGCCGCACTCAGCAATAGTCCAGCTTTCTGACGGCGGTCTGTAAATAATCGAAGCTGGACCAGACAATCCAGTGATTTACATCATGAACATCAATCCACACAATTGGGATCGATGACATGAATCAACCAAGTCAGCGAGCCTGACCACCCGATCCTGTTAGTCGCCTTTGAGACAAGCATAGTTGCCTTTTACGGCTGAAGACCTATTCTACCCCGGAATCTTCAGGGGTCACACTGAAGTTGACTGAAGCTTTGTTTTTAATCAAACATATAAAGTAAGAAGGAACGTGTGCAAAGTCAGAAAGAAATGCAAACAAATTAGCAAGTGTAACCATGGAATTTTATTGTTATAATCAATATATCACATGACTAACCATGCACAGGTCTGGGTTGCCTGTGCTGACCCGGGTCGTACTCAGGACATTTAATAACATTGAATCTAGTCTTTTATCCATTTTCTCATACAAAATGTTCAGGTTGAAATGGTAAAATACACATATAATTTACATAATTAACAGAATAAGCGGGAATACAACAAACCTGCTCTTTTGTCATTTCCTCTGTTGAGATTCCATCTATGACGGTTGGGGTTTTTGCCTTGCCAGACTTCTTCCCCTTCTTGCCTTTCTTCCCACTCTTCTTCTTTTTGGGAGGCTACAGAAACAACAATCATAAATGATTCCTACCAGAAGAAAGCAAAACAATGTCATATCAAAATAAAGCAGGCAGTAACTCAAGTCTTACTAAAAACTGAAAACACAAACTTGTCGTAAATATGAAATAGTGAGCTAAGAATAATCATACAGAAGCGTTTTGTATATCTAATGCATACATATGTTTCACTTCAAACAAGCCGTACCATTGAAAATTGATTCTTCACGAACCGAACGACCAAAACCAATCTTCACACCATAATAAACGGACTAATAAACAAACAAGATGTCGCGAAAATAGGAGACACGTCCCCAAGTTACTCTTAACTGTTTCAGAGAAATCGGTCAAAGCTGCCTACCATCGCGACCTCAGCTATGCTAGTGGGTTAGAACAGTCATGGACGTTTACTGCTATGATTTAAGGTCAGACCCTCGATGCACCTACCATTTTGACGTTTGTGGGGAGGAAATAAAGTCAACACAACAATGGAGCTTCCTCCCGTTGTCCACAGCAACAAGAACCCGGATGTGAGATCTCGTTAGTAGTCTCCCAAATTAAAAAATACTTCTTTATCAAAATTAAACATAATCACTAACTTTTTAACGCGTGAGAATGAAAACAAAAACAAGCACTCATAAATGAAACATAAAATATCGCTTTATTCTACAAATTATCAACCAAGGGGCGTAACTCAGCATTACACTAGTTACGCTCTTTCATTGCGCGGCCGCCGAATCTCCTTCCTTTGTCCGATAATCGACAGAGGAGTGCCGAGTCTGACTCAAAGCTGATTCATCTAATGGAATGGGGTTAAGTAAAATCTCTACTTATATCGCATAAGAAATATTATTTATTTTAGATCAATTTTTTGGGTCGTTTTTACTTTTGTTAATTCATAACGAAATGATTTGCTTGACCCATCAATTTATTTTCTTAAACTTTGCAGATCCATCTATCTTTATTTAATAATTGACATTAATAAACCTAGATCGATACTAAAATTTGTTACAGCAATATAATACAAACCTATATAGTATATTATTATCTTTTGTAATATATTTTAAAGACGTCTCACGGTTAGCTCTTTCAAATATATTTAACCATGATTAGGCGATAAAAACACACACACCACACAACGGAAATGTTTCTAACTTGAGCCATGAGGCAATACAAATGAGCAGCATGACACATCGGTATGTTCAACTGATCGGCGAACTTCCTACCACGGAAACTATGATCCACCCAGTTAATTATAACTGATCACCAAAAAAGGTAACGCCCTTTCCTTTTGAAATTTATTATGAAATATGAACATTATATCTTGTACATAATGAAATGGATGGATGTTCTAATTTTCGTCCAATCATATCGGAGAGTTACACGTTATATCTGTCATGTAGATTCAACAACAAACCAGGGCAATGATAAAATAGACAATTTGTATGGATAGCTTCTTTATTATTATTATTATTACTGTAATAGCGACGTTTCGAGACAGATTATACCGTTGTCAAGCAAGACTATAAAGAAGTTGTTAACCATAGAAAACATTGTCATACGTCAACTGATTTGAACATAAGTAAGGATAATATATATGGATGAACAACTTCTTTATTACAATTAGGAGCGACGTTTCGTTGTAGGTTTTAACACCGTTATCAAGCAAGTGATATATAGAGTATGGTTGACAGGTATATATACAGGTAGGAAGCAGTGTGTGTACAGTCTTGATCACGGTTGATTGAACAATGAACATGCCTATCAAACAATTCAGGGCAATAGCATCGACACTGTACATACAAATGACACAAAACATTGACTTTGATAATAATGATACTTTATGTTATGATACATATGTTAATCATACGTTATCAAATTGAATGTTTCATTTTTCCTTTTAGTTTTCGTTTCTATATATAAAATATTTCATATCTTGCTTGGAGAAAATACCAAAGTCAGTCAATGATCTTTTATGCGTTGCTCAGTCAAGGGGAGATAAGTCTAATGGCAACATTCTCTGTTATTGTGCACGTGTTAGGCCACTCCTATTGGATCCGGGATCGTATCCGGCGTTTTTGCGTGACATTCATTTTCCTTTGTAATTTTACATATTATTGATTGCATACATTCTGCCTATACAATAATGCATGTTATATATGCAGTAGATATGATGAATACATACGACGCTATTAATCGCGAATCAACTCTTTCTGTCACAAATATATCCGCCTTTTTATTTAAGAGACTACCCATCATTTATAATAGGGAATCCCACTACTATAATAAACGGACAGTCGCTAAGTTAAATAAACCCTTCAAACTCAGTGAATATACATTAACCGTCCATAGAGAATGTTTAAAACCCACAGCAGAGGGTTTTAGCTTTACAATTTGTCAACGCAGTTTTACAGGCCAAACTTTTCACCAAAGTGGGATAGAATTAACATTTCGAGAAGATTCTTCTTTGTCTTACCGTTATGATTTCAGTGATGAATTTAAAGCAAGTCAATTAGGAAAGGGAAATAAAACATCTGTGACGTCATTCTATTGTTTAAACGCTCCATTATGTTTCAGGAATGGAGTGAGTGAGTGAGTGAGTGAGTATGGCTTTACGCCGCTTTTAGCAATATTCCAGCAATATCACGGCGGGGGACACCAGAAATGGGCTCCACACATTGTATCCATGTCTGGAATCGAACCCGGGTCTCCGGCGTGACGAGCGAACGCTTTAACCACAAGGCTACCCGACGGCCCCTTCAGGAATGGAGACTTGTTTGTCAATCATACATGATCTTGAACCAACATTGCAATATATTTACACTTGAAACAGACGGAACTATTTTCTTTATATTTTGAAAAGGAAATTATTTCAAATTTTGTCGGGAAACATGTGTCGCCAGTGAGTTTCGAACCAGCAACGTTTGACTTGAGGACAATAATTATCGACCTCAACTACGGCGATACATGACACTACGGTAAGAAATAAACTTTTAAATATTTTTAAATTGCTGCATAATCCTAAAAGCTTAAATATGTGCATAATGTTGTGTTTCAGCGTGTTACCTATATGTTCATTTTTTAAGCATATAGATACACCTTTGGCGAGATAAAAATATCTGGTAAACACATATATATCCTTGAACACACAATGCCATTTAGAAAGTTGTCAAATGAAACAAACGTAATGTTTGGGATAACACTTTCTCGGTAAAGCTTCCAGTACTGTTTTGGGTTGAGTCCTGTCCGTGATTCGAAACCACACTGTCAGAGAGAGGCATCTAATCGCCAGTACTCAAAGTCAGCGATCTAACCAACTCAGGGGAGGTCGGGTAGCCTAGTGGTTAAAGCGTTCGCTCGTCACGCCGAAGACCCGGGTTCGATTCCCGACATGGGTACAATGTGTGAAGCCCATTTCTGGTGTCCCCCGCCGTGATATTGCTGGAATATTGCTAAAAGCGGCGTAAAACCAAACTTAATCACTCACTCACTCACTCACTAACCAACCCAGCCACCGATGCTCTGCGCCATTATCTTTAAGCGAGTGTGAGTGAGTTGGGTTTAACGCCGCTTTTAACATTATTCCAGTTATGTCAGCTTAATGTGGGACGAAAGCCCGAAGTGATGCAGGTCTCAGACGTTTACCACTTCGGTGAAACCAACGAGCACGGGTATGGTGCTGACAAACCTAGAAACATAATCGGGGCGAACCGGGATTCGTACCCACAATCATAGGTTTCTGGCATGCCTAGGGGACGCGAATCGCGGCGCCTTAGACGACTGGACCACCCGTGACCCCTTATCTTTAAGGAATAGGATGATACTCGGACATTTCCCTCTACGTAACCCCCTGATTTGTCACAAGAAAGCCTCAAGCCCTTTGCCTTTATTTCATCCTTTTTTTCATATCACTTTCATTTTAGAGATGTGTCGTGCATCCTTCTCAATATCCCCTGGGGTCACATGTCGATAAAGCTACACTACCGAAATGCGAGACCTGGAGACATAGAGGATGGTTGTAAAAAAGACTTTGTTCTTTTTTTTTTACAATTTAAAAAACAACCCAATCCTTAAACCAAATCATAAGAGAGGCCCATGAAAAGATTACCGCAGTGTGGTATTACTTTACGGAAAACTGTGCATTTGTCTCAAAATGTCAACAACAACAACACAAAAAGGTATATTAAGAAATTGAAACTTTGTTACCAAAACGCTGTTTATTTAAAAAAAAAAATTTTTTTGTTATTAATGTGTGATTTATTCTTGCATTTTACTTCTCTGTTTGATTAAAGTATTTAAAGACCTTATTTATACGTTATTATAACGCGATCAATGTCGCTGAAAACACAATCTGTTTGTCCGCCCACTTGATCTATATCGATTTTAGAAGTTATTAATTATAATGTCTACACCTTGACTAACTTTGGACGACCAGGATGCGTGAAGTCACTCTCTAACATAGCTATTTGTATTAATATCCCTGACGTGTTCACACACAAGAGGAAATGTTGAATGTTTTCCGCTGTGAGTTACAAAGGATCTTTGTGATGTAAGCAAAGTTACATTTATCCTCGCAATCATATGCTAAAGTCAATACTTTCTGAATGAACTCTGAATAAACTCTGAATTAACTCTGAATTAACTCTGAATAAATTCGGAATGATTATGTCACCATCACTGAATGCTTGTTATTTCAACTGCGCAGTGAAAATTGGAAAATCCACATATGCGAACATAGCAGTAAATATTTTTTACGGGCGCTTCACCTGCAGGAAACGAAAGTCGGTATTATATTTAGGAGAACATACTTATTGTAAAAATATTGACAGCATTCGCGAGTATTTCTTTTCATTGTCACACAACCATTTTTGGATACGGAATTCAGGTATCTTTTACTAAACAACATAAAATTTATGACTCAATTCCTAATCTAGTCATGAATGTTTAGGACTGCAATTATCCTCATGTGAATAATTTCTCATATAGTTCTGCATACAGTAAACAACATTTATAACGAACACGCTTATAACGAACTGTCGGATATAACGAACTGTTTCTTGGTGCCGTCCATTTTTTATATAGATGTTGTACATATGCTTATAACGAACTACGGTTATAACGAATTAAAATTAGTGGCCCCTTTGAGTTCGTTATAACCGTAGTTCGTTATAACCGTAGTTTACTGTATATATTTCCATCAGCCTGTTCGTGTACCTGTTCTTGAACGCGTTCTTGTACGTGCTTCCAAGCGTGTTGGTGTCACTGATGAAAGAGATTTTGAAAAGAGTGCTGTTAACTTTGAAATACGAGAGTGAAGTTGCATAATAAAATCTACGTGACTTATAGCACGCGACACGATGTAGCAATATCTCGGACCGTCACGGGTAGATGGTCCTTGAATTTCCCTACATAATTTATGTCTAGACGTGACTGGTGAAGATTTACAGAAAAACCGGAAAAACAGAAATAGGTAGCTGCTATACCTAAGGTCTGGATAGAACATTTCTGGCAGATTTGTGGTATAGGCTTGGAGAGGAGGAGTGAGTATATGATGTTTGTTGCACTCAAGTATGTCAGCTTTATGATGTTGGTCTGTCTATAAAGGCGTCTGGACCAGACAGTTCAGTGATTGATATTATCATAAAGAGCTCTAGAAAAAAACCCAACAGATGTGAGTATCTATACTTTAGAACTTTATAGAACATTACTGACATATTTGTCGTAAACTTTGCTTGTTTGTTTGTTGGTAACGCCGCACTTAGCATTATTCTAGCTCTATGATGGCGGTCTGTAAATAATCGAGTCTGGACCGGACAGTCCAGTGATTGACATCATGAGCATCTACCCACGATGCGATGAAATGCATCAACCAAGTCAGCGAGCCTGACCACCTGATCCCATAAGTCGCCTTTTACGAAGACCTATTCTACTCCGGATCTTCACGGGTCGTCCAATGATTGATATTATGAGCAAGGATCCACGCTAAAGGGTACCATGACACGCAGTCAACCAACATTAAGCTTGGTCACCGATCAATTCAGTCGCCTCTTGCAACTCGGGACACGGATATCCCTGTCGTCTAAGGCGCCGCAAGTCGAGTTGCGTCCCTTGGGCACGCCAGAAACCTATGGTCATGGGTTCGAATCCCATTTCGCCCCGACTGTTTTAGAGTTGTCAGCGCCGTACCCGTAGTCGTGGATTTCTGAGGCATGTGTCCCATTAAGCAGACATGCCATGATATAATTGGAGTACTGTACAAAGCGACGTTAAACCCAACTCACTCACTCCCCTTACAGTGAATAAGTATGGTTGTACGCCGCTTTTAGCAATATTACAGCAATATCACGGCGGGGGACACCAGAAATGGGCTTCACACATTGTACCCATGTCGGGAATCGAACCCCGTTGTTGGTTGGTTTGTTGTTTAACGCCGCACTCAGCAATATTCAAGCTATATGACGGAGGTCTGTAAATAATCGGTTCTGGACTAGAAAATCCAGTGATTAATATATTGAACATCAATCCACGCAATTAGGATCGATGACATGCATCAACCAAGTCAGCGAACTGACCACCCGATCCCGTTAGTCGCCTCTTACGACAAGCATAGTCACCTTTTACGGCAAGCATGGGTTGCTGAAGACCTATTCTACCCCGGAATCCTCACGGGTCGAATCGAACCCGGGTCTTCGGCGTGACGAGCGAACGCTTTAACCACTAGGCTACCCGACCGCCCCAATCCCCTTACAATTAGCATAGATTGCTGGGTACCTATTCAAACGCGGAATACCTACTGATGGGGAATTATTTCACAACAGTTGATTTATATCTGGCATTGAAATTACTCGCATCCTCATCCTATCTAGTACAGGACACAACAAGATAACTTTCAACATGGCGCATGTGTAACCCAGAAGATAAAACAATTGTAATTTGCGTGTGGTACCTTCAGAATCAGGAATGAGAATATGGCACAATTCAGTTTAAATATTTATGTATTAAAAGTCATCTCCATGTACCCATGTCCCCATGTAATTTTCTCAAACCCACAACGAATAAGGCAATGATTGGGTGCTTGTAATAATTCGGACTAATGCGGGTTTTATAGCGCTAGCCCCGCTGAGATAAATAATCGAGTCTGGACCGGACAGTCCAGTGATTGACATCATGAGCATTGATCCACGCAATTGGGATACGATGACTTGCAGCGAGCCTGACCACCCGTTCCCGTTAGTCGCCTCTTACGTCTGGCACAGTCGCCTTAACGCCGCAAAGTATGGGGCACACGAGAGAGCAGTGGTGACTTCGATGCTATACAGGAATACAAAGTGTGAAGTTTATTGTTTTCATTATCCACCGTAGCATGCGCGGTTGGAATATTGCCCAAAGTTCATTAAATTCATATACACTTGTTCATACCCTACTCTGCAGCCACTCACCAATCCTTCATCAAAAGCTTGTTGGTTGAGGCCGCACTTTGCAATATTGACGTCGGCTTGTAAACAATCAAGTCTGGACCAGACAAACCTGTGATTGATAGTATGAGCAATGTGCCACGATACGATGAGTCTGTCCACCTAGAACATTTAGTTGCCTCTTACGACAGGCATGGGTAGAATTGGGGACCTATTCTAACCTGGATCCCCAACGGGAGGCTCCGTCCATCAAGCTCCCTTAAATTGCATAAGCATGAAGCGTACGTCGGAGACAAACAATTCATTTTCAGTTTCAGTGTAGCAAATATAATTTCGCTGTACTTATATATGTGAATACGTTTAAATATTAATTTTAAAGATATTTGTGCAGAAATTGTATTCTTCAATGCGATGTTGACACTGATAAATATATTGACAATGTCTACTGTTAGTTATTGTGCGACTGTTGGTTATCAAGACGAAAGGTCACTGGTAAGCACAATGGACATAACTTTAAATGCCATGTTCTGAAAACTAACATTACAAGCCTCTTTCACTCAGAATAACGACAAAGTTGACAATATATCTGCAGTATCACACGGGAAACCCAATTGTTTTTGTTAAGATTGTGTTGGCTAGACAGACACGGTTTTCCCGCTGTGACTAAAAATAGAACCATGTCATTGCAGATCGCAGACGACTTTTCACAGGTTGCGAGTGGGGTTTTGTGAGTATATCCTGTTTATAAACCGATGCAACTGATAAATTAGTCCAACACTGTTCGATTATGCTTGCATTTCTTTCCATGAGGTGTATGGAGATTGAATTTGCACTCCCTCCAATATCTCAGAGGTACATGCGTTGCTTCCGCCTGTCGTCTGCGCTGTCGTCTGCGCCCTCCTTGTCCACTGTCGTCTGGTTTTCAACAGGTTCACACACATCTTCGTAGACGAAATATCTGTAAAATATGATAATATTTTCGAGGTAGCATATGCATATGTCATTCTCTCATATCCATGAGAATATCAGTACCAATTAGGCGTCAATATTATATAATCCTAGATTTCCCTGTTTTCAATTATCGAAAGTTACCCTAGTGATCTAGTGTAAATATATCAGGTGCAAATCTGTAATAGTATACAACCGGGAATTCGACATATCCAAGTTCGACACACCTTGGTTCGATTGTGTATGCATATTACTGTCACTCTGCAGGCAGTGACGTCATCCAAACATCAAAGAGCTTTCACGACCTTCGAACTATTGGAGGTATGTTAGAAATGTGGACCTAGGGTAGGAATCAGTTAGTTGGTGAATTGTGCTTAAGACAACACTGAGTAATAATCCAACTATATCAATGGGCTAGGGCTGGGACGAGTCCAAATTTACTACCCGGGTACCCACACCCCTATTACCCGACCCTACCCGGGTACCCAATATAGGTCTCAAGAGATACAAAATATCCGATTGGGAATATATTTTTTTGCTACAGCACTTGCAAAACGTATTTTGATACATGTATTAAACGATCTGGCCATGCATACACTGAAGTTGACTTAAGTTACATCTTTATTCAACCATATGAAAAGTCAGAAGGAATGGGTGCATAGTCAGAAAGAAATGCGAACATTAGTGACTTGTAGTGTAACCAGAGTTCTAGATATTTTTTGTCATTAAACAATATGTCACATGATTAACCACGGGTCCGGGTAGTCCTGTGGGTACCCGGGTCCTACTGAGTACCAACCCGACCCGGGTACCCGAGTTACCCGTCTTACAATGGGCCTGTACATGATTGTGTAATGACCCGTTAACCAGGCATTGATACGAGCAACGCCACACGCAGTCTGGATACTATGACACATAATCGACACTGATATCACCGCCTGATTCCATTGGTCACCTAGCACCACACGCATGGGGACCTATTCTAACGGGAACGCCTTACTGCGTGACGAAACATAGGTTGCTGGGGATCTATTTTGATCCTGTATCCCATGGGAGACAAAAATGAATTGCTGGGGACCTATTCTGACCCGGTATCCTCACGGGGAGACAAGCATATATTGCTGGGGACCTATTCTGACCCGGTATCCTCACGGGGAGACAAGCATATATTGCTGGGGACCTATTCTGACCCGGTATCCTCACGGGGAGACAAGCATATATTGCTGGGGACCTATTCTGACCCGGTATCCTCACGGGGAGACAAGCATATATTGCTGGGGACCTATTCTGACCCGGTATCCTCACGGGGAGACAAGCATATATTGCTGGGGACCTATTCTGACCCGGTATCCTCACGGGGAGACAAGCATATATTGCTGGGGACCTATTCTGACCCGGTATCCTCACGGGGAGACAAGCATATATTGCTGGGGACCTATTCTGACCCGGTATCCTCACGGGGAGACAAGCATATATTGCTGGGGATCTATTCTGACCCGGTATCCTCACGGGGAGACAAGCATATATTGCTGGGGACCTATTCTGACCCGGTATCCTCACGGGGAGACAAGCATATATTGCTGGGGACCTATTCTGACCCGGTATCCTCACGGGGAGACAAGCATATATTGCTGGGGACCTATTCTGACCCGGTATCCTCAAGGGGAGACAAGCATATATTGCTGGGGACCTATTCTGACCCGGTATCCTCACGGGGAGACAAGCATATATTGCTGGGGACCTATTCTGACCCGGTATCCTCACGGGGAGACAAGCATATATTGCTGGGGACCTATTCTGACCCGGTATCCTCACGGGGAGACAAGCATATATTGCTGGGGACCTATTCTGACCCGGTATCCTCACGGGGAGACAAGCATATATTGCTGGGGACCTATTCTGACCCGGTATCCTCACGGGGAGACAAGCATATATTGCTGGGGACCTATTCTGTCCCGGTATCCTCACGGGGAGACAAGCATATATTGCTGGGGACCTATTCTGACCCGGTATCCTCACGGGGAGACAAGCATATATTGCTGGGGATCTATTCTGACCCGGTATCCTCACGTGCTGTTACTGTACCGGACCTTTCTAATGCGTGAAGTTTCGGTACGAAGTACTTTAAGCTCAGGGGGCTGGGTCATGGCAGTCTGACAAACCAACGAGAGTTGGCATGCAACAATTCGATTTTCAGGGGGATTGGGCGGGATTCATTCCCACTCCCCACCCCACCCCCACCCCCCAAATAATAAATAAAATAAAATAAATAAATAAATAAATAAATAAATAAATAAATGAAAAATAAATTAATACATTTTTATCTAATAGTTGAGCAACTAAACAAAAAAAAGCTGATCTAAACCCCAAATCCACTCGATCACCCTGAAAATCAAATGGTTGCCCCTTACAGCTCTCTGCTCCATTTTTCATGTCTGGCTTCATGATTCGATGCAAACACATTCACGAGGACACATGTCGCCTCGCTCCATAGAGGCCGCTGTCGTTAAGACCCTGCGATCTACACAATGTTGCTCCGTTGTTTGGGTGAGAATATTCCCCACATTGGGACAAGTTATATCCTCCCCACAATGAAAGTCGAATGCATACTGATCCATTGATCGGGGTAATAATGTGACGGTTTGAGCATGCAGTCAGATAAGAAGCGTATTACCTAAAATACCCCCCCACCCCCCAAAAAAACACAAAAAAACAACAAACCCAACAACAACAAACAACAACAACAACAAACAAACAACAAACCCAACAACAACAACAAAACACATTCAAAACCCAAGTACTTTCAATTAACTTGCGTACAGAAACGCATGCATGAAATGAAAAACTCAAATGTTGAAACACAGCTTTTTCAGCATGCGTACAAAGGAGCTAATTTCAGAAACACAATTACGAGCTAATTTACTTACTTAGTCGAGCCTATATATTGAGAACGGTTATATACATCTAAAACATTATTTCATTTTTAAAAAAATCTTAAAATGTTCACTCATTGTGGGAAAAAAACCAATAGAATGATGAATAGATGAGTGAAAGAATATTGGTTACCCAATGACAAATGTAATAACCCATTAAAATAGAAACCCTAGAGTAAAAACTCAATTGCTCAAAAGGTTATCTGGAGCTCTGCATGCTTTAGGGTGCGCATTATATCTAAGCACATTAGGGGGCACGGGTGGCCCAGTCGTCTAAGGCGCCGCGATTCGCTGTGCAGAGTTGCGTCCCTTGGGCACGCCAGAAACCTATGATTGTGGGTTCGAATCCCGGTTCGCCCCGATTATGTTTCTAGGTTTGTCAGCACCATACCCGTGCTCGCGGGTTTCACCGAAGTGGTAAACGTCTGAGACCTGCATGGCTTTCCTCCCACATTAAGCTGACACGCCGTGATATAACTGGAATACTGTTAAAAGCGGCGTTAAACCCAACTCACTCACTCTAAGCACATTATTATTACGCCAGAACTTGTAGGTCGTGTCTTTTGTGATACTGGGGCATTGTTTCTATTTAATTAAAGGTTTTAACGTGCAAAACTCATAAACATCCGAATACTGGGGTAGCCAGTGTTAAAAAGACATGAATCCAACTTTCTGAGACTGCCAATTGACGGCGTTTCCCTTTAATCTGCGTTGCAGAGAAAATGTATTTGCATGGCGATCTTCTTCAAACTAAACCTGACTTCAAAGCTATTATTGTACATGTTTTGTTTGTTCGTTGTTTAACGCTGCACCCAGCTATATGAGAGGATGTAAATATTCGAGTCTGTACCAGAAAAGCCAGTGATGGATGTGGGCCACGATCTTCGCCGTCGGGGTACGAAGTCACGCAATCAACCAAGGCACCGAGCCTGACCACCCGATCCATTAAGTGTTCTTACGACCAACATTGTTGTGGAACAATTCTAACCCGGTATTGCCACGGTTCGTACTCATAATTTGTAATGGTCAGGTTTTATAAAACTATTAATTGTCTGCGCCTGCCAAGTCAAGGGAACCTGTTTAAAAGCATGATTGTATGATACGGACCTTTATTACTTGCCCGTGAAGAGATCACCCGTTTAATAAACATACAGCTGTATTACATATTGTGTAATACCAAAACGCGTGCTTATGTACTCTCGGAACACGTTTCACGAACAAATATTGAAAGCTCTCAACACCCCTTGGCTAATTCAACGACATTGCGTGTGGAGTTGATAGATCACTGAAAGGAACTTATGCACACTCGATGACCCCAGCAACCTTGTTGCTAGGCTGACGTCACATGGCATTGTTTCGCCGATGGATCTTGCAACAAAATTCCACAAATTGCGTCATCGGGTATTGTGACGTTATTGTAAACTTTGAGGTGCAAGGCCCGTTCCACAAGGCGACGCTATGTGAGTTGCGATAGTCTTAGCCCTACGATAATTTTGTGAATTCTAAAGATGGACCGTTGTATGGTATTAAATTCATACGTTTCAACTTTTGACGTGTTTGAAGTATTATTCTGTTAAACTTAATTGGACTATGCCGTGGATCGTGTAGGTGTCAGCCTATTCATACTCAACAGTATAATTCTAAAAACGTTATAAATGGCAAGTAATAAATAAAATACTAAACTCGCTCCCGTGTAAAACCAATTTTATGAAACTCGTAAATAGTTGTGGTATCTGACTCGCTGTCGCTCGTCAGATACCATTCACTCGTTTCATAAAATTGGTATTACACGGGAGCTCGTTTAGTATTCTATATTTAGTTATATACCGTTGCCGAAGGCGCTAGTGTCTAATCAGTAAGTGGCGACTAACGGGATCAGGTGGTCAGGCTCGCTGACTTGGTTGATGCATGTCATCGTATCCCATTTGCGTGGGTCGATGTTCATGATGTCAATCACTGATGACTGGTCCAGATTCGATTATTTACAGACCGCCGTCATATATCTGGAATATTTCTGAGTGCGGCGTTAAACAACAAACAAACAAACAATGCCTAATCAAGATGGATAAGTCATTGTGCTTCGTAAACTGGCAAGGAAAACCCCACCATGACTGTGCCGTTAGTCATATTGACAGGAAGGAAATTGCTTGCTGTATCTTCTCATGTCTGTTCGCTAATTACAGCATCAGAGGTCGATCTGTTAAGGATGTAGAATCAAAGTGAGAAATATCCCTTTCCTCAGCCTGTGTGATACTTCTATTGTTACGCCCTTGGCATTGCAATGCATAATGAGAGCGGGTGTTGGCTAAGTTAATATATATATAGTAAAAAGGAATTCCCGTGAAAGGCAACTATAAGAGCGCCAGGCTGAAAATACGCCCTGAAGAATTAATTATCTCGAGTCGGAAAGGGGCAATCGTGGTCAATAATCATCTCCGCATGCATTGGTAGTATCTGGAGGTAACACCTCGTCACACTGCACGTAGGTAGGCTAGCTATATCTACTGCCTTTCTATTTGTATGGGAGAATGTTTGTACATGATTCACTCTGGGATGTTTGTCCCCCGCCAACGTGTTTGTGTGCGAAGCGACAGCCAAAGTATTTGGCTCCGGAAACTGTTGGCGAGATATCTCCAGAACCTCTGCTTTGATTTTGTTCGAATTTGGAGCCAAGGTGTCTGAGAGGTTATTGCAGACTTCAGTTAATAACGGCCGCAATGTTCCAGTTAATATTTTGAGCCAGCGAGTATTTACTCTAACACTGGTTATTTATTTATTTATTTATTTATTTATTTATTTATTTATGTACTTGTTTCGTAGTTTAATTGTATGTTTGTTGTGTGTGGGGTGGTGGTGGGGGGTGGTATTTAATATATTATTTACTTACTTGGGGCCAGTCTATTGGATTTTGTAGCCTGTGAGTAGATTATTATTTAATTTGAAATATTTCTACTTCTATGTCGTTTCAGGTAACTTCTACTTAGTGTTCATGTTCTGCCCGAAGTGAGTCACATGTCTCATAGTTTCAAGATAGTGATATATGTTTAATAATTCAATTTATACAAGTCTGGGGTAAAATCAGGTCCGAATAATTTTCGGGGAATATCTTAAAATAATGTTACTGGAAACTTGTTCACTGCAATTCTGGAATTATAGTTGTTCGTTCAGTTTGACAGTAAATGTGGAATACAATGGATACACTTTATACATGAACATTAACTATGGGAATTAGCATCTTATTAGTAATGATTTCACACATATACATATCATAGCTACATGGCAGATAAGACCCCTGAAGATCCGGGATAGGGTAGGTCTTTAGCAACCCTTGCTTGTCGTAAAAGGCGACTATGCTTGTCGTTAGAGGCGGCTAACGGGATCGGGTGGTCAGGTTCGCTGACCTGGTTGAGGCATGTCATCGGGGCGCTGGGGTAGAGGCTTGTGGTTAAAGCGTTCGCTCGTCACGCCGAAGACCCGGGTTCGATTCCCCACATGGGTACAATGTCTTAAGCCCATTTCTGGTGAAATGAATGCGCCATTGACCCGGGGCGTTGGGGTAGGCTTGTGGTTTAAACGTTCGCTCGTCACGCCGAAGACCCGTGTTCGATTCCCCACATGGGAACAATTTTTGTTTAGCCCATTTCTGGTGTCCCTGGCCGTGATATGGCTGGAATATTACTAAAAGCGGCGTAAAACCATACTCACTCACTCAAAAGTTACTTGTAGATCGTTGTAGTACAGATGAAATACTATCCGTCCTCCCGAAATAGGATGATCCTGTTTGCGGCGGGGATGTCCGCCACCCTAATGACATATGATTAATATATTAATTATAATGATTTTATGTTTTAGCGACGATGAAATACTATCCGTCCTCCCGAAATAGGATGATCCTGTTTGCGGCGGGGATGTCCGCCACCCTAATGACATATGATTAATATATTAATTATAATGATTTTATGTTTTAGCGACGTTAAACAACGCAGGAGTTTTTGAACTCTGTTCAGCCTACACAGGGATCCTGGAACATGATATGCTAAAGGACAACCAAACCTCTATATTCTACATCCACTCAAGGTAATGTACGGATAGAGTTGAAAGATTTAGCAAGTATTCGTATTAGAATAACTTTTGTGGGTGGGGTTGGGCGTGTGTCTCATCTTAGACAGACATGTTGTATCAAGAAGAAACTTTTGCTGTCGTAAAAAAAAGATTTTCGAATATAAAATAATACGTTTCGCATTTGTCATGTCGACAGATTATTCATTGATATCTTAACTTCGAATTACGATTCAATAACTCATTTTTTAATATTTGTTTTTGATATCTAATAATCTAAATTGTCATATCAATAAATATATTTATTGGTATCTCAAAATCGTGAGTCAGTGAGTTATTGATGTCATAAAATAAGGAATAAAGAGTAACACGGCTTCTTATGACATTGAACCAGAACACACCCAGTGTTCAAATCAACTCAAATTCATTTTTACAGTTTCATATCATTAAATGATATATGAAGCGTACCATAAATTCAAACTTACAAATTTAAGATGGCAGTGACAGGTTGACAGTACTGCTGCTCAACAATAGTATTAGTTCACGTTTTTCAAAATAATAACAATAAATCAAGATATTATTTGTAAGTTGAATACTTGAGCGTCCGAAATAACCACCTGCTCGTAGGCCTGGCGCCCATGTCAAACTCTTATCGGGCCAGCAGTTTCATTTTTTTGTAGATCCTAATGGCCTAATTCAGGTGTCACCATCATTTGTTTTTTCGTTTCGTTTTTCTTGGAAAATATTTTCAACGCACTTTCACATTCCCGAATCTGTAGCTAGCGCAATCGCGTAGGTCGATATAAGCATAATAACCAGTCAAAACACGTGTGTAGTTTTTAGCATCTCACTGGCATGGGAACTCTGAACGTCACGTTGAGACTCATAAGCATGTGGCGATATGTTGAATACGTGGAACTACAGAAAGGACAATAACTATGGCGTGAAGATACTTTGCAGGAGGAGTAACGACACTAACAGTATGAAGCGAATATTTCAAAACAAAATGGGGAGATGAAGTTCGTTCCAGCACGTGTATTTGTTGCATGACGGTCAAAACATGTTCTTGTAAAAAAAGCTTCAAAACCCCTTCCACATCCAATAGAAATCTCTGCAGAAAGCAGAGTCGATTGTACGATGCCGACTATAATTATCATGAGCATGTGTTTATGAATCACTATCAAATAGTAATGATATCAGGTATTCGGGAAAAGATGAGCGTATCCTGCCCCACCGGGGGCACCCGTCACAAACACATGCAAGGGCAAATCAATTGTTCACCTGAAAATAACACGGGAACATGTGGTACAAGTCAAAATAGGGAATTGCATCGGACATCATTTTTGTCAGTTTGGAAATGTCCTCCACATGTCTACCATCAAACCTTTTGAAAGCTTTACTGAGGCCTTGAATGTTGTAACCTTGATCAAACAACTTCTGAGCAAGAGTCGTGTGGTGCTCTTTGGTAGAAAGAGCTTGGCTCGATTTTATCTCAAAAGTTGTGAACACCAAAAGTTGGAGCTGCTGGAATATTGCTCGACATAAAGGAAAAGTTGACTTTTGGAAAGTCATCCCTCTTGTCATACAGTCTTGTGGAGAGTGTTTTGTCACAGATGAAGCGGTCTCACTCGTCTCCTTTATTTCTAGTTCAGGTGGGTAAATCAGTGGAAGGGAATTGGCTATTTGATTGTTATTGAACGATATCAGATCATCGATATACCTGAAGCTTAAGTTAAACCTCTTGGCCAAATTACCTTGTTTTGACTCATTCAGACGAATTGACGAATTCAGATTCATAATCAGATTCACAATCATAAAGAAACAGATCCGCAAGAAGAGGAGCGCAGTTGGTGCTTAATGCTTCTTGCCTTAATGTCTTACCTCAAAGTTTTACGTAGATGTTATCAATGAGGAAGTCCAGCATTTTCATATTGTTTTCTCAGTAAACCTCAGATGGCATTTGCTTTCATTTTTCACAAATTGTCCTCAACCTCTGAATATAAATACTATATCTGAGTTCACCACGTTTTGTAACAAAAGCTCCATGGATCAAGGAATTAAGTTTTTCCTAAGTTTGTCATGTGGGATAGTGGTGTACAAAGTTGAAAAATCAAACCTTTTGACAGAATGGAACTTGGTAAAACATGCAACGGTGCGTTACGACAGCCGTCACTGAACAAGCTGCCCTGTCGGGGGATATTTAAAGGTTATGCAAGGGGGCTTTTTGTCTTGGTTCTTTTCACTTTCATTTCACACCCAAAGCTCATGAATCAACCCTATAATATTTATAAATGTCCGTGATTCACTGACCCTGGCGACTGGTCACTGAAGTGATTAAGCTTACTCGAACAAGTCATGATTCTCATCGTAAGCCTGTCATCACTATCGGACTGCCATATTTAAATTTCATTTTTATTCTTTAATTAAAGTATTTTAGCTATGCCCTTCCAATGCAACTGACGCCAACATGACGGAAAAGCCCCGGAGTCCTTGTCAGGGCCTTCAGAGCCTTCGAGTTCTGACATCTATTGGTTCTGGTTGCTGTCTGGCAATCGTTTTTTTTTAACAATGGGTCACACGCCACACGCCACCCATGTCCACGCCACTTTGTCCAGTTTTGGCCTGGAAATCTACGGTTGAAATATGCCCAACAGATTGTCTGATTTTCAAAATTGCTGCCACAATAATATCTGGGCTGTATGATGCTGGCATACATCTCCCAGCCAAGGCTAGTGCAACGAAGCTTGATGTTATGGCGCATCAGTAACAACAGCTTCCGATTTGGTAATGGCCGACACGTCGGCCATATTGGAACGCCAATTTATGGACATTTGTTGTAGAATGCAGTCAACTAATGTTGTCAGAACCCACGACTCATACGACTTTGTGCCGTATCCAACAATGCAACCATCATGTAGAACAGCAATGGTCATGATGTACGGCAATGTCTATGACGTCAGGACACGTGATCTAGAAGGTCGGGTGTTTGCAGAATAGCGCTAAATGCGTTTCGGTCTTTTACCGTTATTTTTTCTTTCAAAACTATATATTTAGCGGAATATGAAATGAAGAAAAAACTCTTTGGTGGTGTTCTCATAAACAGCGTCGGCTCGGCGTGTGCGGACCTGGGTCTGATGTCAGACTTGTATACAATGCATGAGACCCATCCCTCGTGAGCGGTTTGTTTGACGCTAAAGAACAATCCGCTCAGTCATACCGTGAAGGAAAGTCGAGGGCGTTGTTGATATTATCAAACAGTGGACTCCCACGCGGATCCAGAAAGGAGTGTGTGTGTGCAGGACTGCGCATAAACTATTAATAAATAACTACATTGGTTTTGAGGCCATCCGATACGTTTCCCTTGGGGCAGTAACTAAACACATGCAAATGAGACATTACTCAACAGACTGGACCCAATAGACCAAAGATATATTGTAAAAAATATATTGTTAACTATTGATACCCAATTTCAATGATAACACGTGAGTAAATACCAAATGGCTTAAAGGTGTGGTCCGCTCTTAGGGTCATCTGACCCGTGAAGATCCGGGTAGATCAGGAAGCCGTGCTTGTCGTTAGAGGCGACTAACGGGATCGGGTGCTCAAGCTTGTTGAGATACAGGTTAGAATCGGTCTTCAGCAACCCATGCTTGCCGTAAAAGGCGACTATGCTTGTCGTAAGAGGCGACGAACGGGATCGGGTGGCCAGGCTCGCTGACTTTGTTGATGCATGTCATCGTATCCAGATTGTGTGGATCGATGCTGATGATGTCGATCACTGGATCGTCTGGTCCAGACTCGATTACTTACAGACCGTCGTTATATAACTGGAATATTGGGGTGTGGCGTTAAATAACAAACAAACAAACTTAAGTTCTTCTGGTCTAGGATGAATTATTTACAGACCGTCAGGAATCCGTTGAAATATAGGCAACCAGCAACCGATCGATGCTGATGATGTCAATCACTGGATTGTCTGGTTCAGACGATTATTTACACAACACCGTCATAGTTATATATGTAATAGAGTCCGCCGTCAAACAACATCAAGGACACTACTATAGTCTTTAGAATCGTGGTTCATTCAAGAAGAGTCAGTAAACTTTGTGATCTGATTGAAGAGGCATAAAATCTATCACAACATTACGTGAATCGTATAAGACTGAATATGTGAACTGAGATTGCATGCAAATCGCAACAACAATTATATTTAGTTTATAGCGATTACTGGATCAGCTGTTCCAGACCGCCGTCATTTAGCTGGAATATTGCTGAGTGCGGCGTTAAACAACAAACAAACAAACAAACACTCATTAGTAAGCTCATACGGTATCCTAGCATTCTGGAGGCTATTTCTTCAACGTAATCCCCACGGGGCTGAATTTGTTCAAGAGTACAAACCACATGTAAATGTTAGATATATTCGTCGGCATTCGTGGCCAACTCGTGTTATTCCGGGACAAGCCTAATAGGTTACGGAAAGGGGCGAGTGGTGACGAATGATTCGTCGGATTATCTGTCGTTTGAGGGTAATGAGTGTGTGTGAGTGAGTTGGGTTTAACGCCGCTTTTAACAGTATTCCAGTTATATCACGGCGTGTTAGCTTAATGTGGGAGGAAAGCCCGAAGTGATGCAGGTCTTAGACGTTTACCACTTCGGTGAAACCCACGAGCACGGGTATGGTGCTGACAAACCTAGAAACATAATCGGGGCGAACCAGGATTCGAACCCACAATCATAGGATTCTGGCGTGTCCAAGGGACGCAACTCTGTACAGCGATTGCGGCGCCTTTTTAGACGACTTACCCATGCCCCCTTGAGTGTAATGAATAAATTTAAATAGTGCGTCAGTCGTCTCAGAAGAAGGATGTAACAAACTGTAAAGATAACAATGAGTTCAACAGAACATCCTGAAAGATTTGTTCTTTTTTAAGAATGTATAATGTTTATGGTATTTCCATAATATTTCGATACATAACTATGACGTACCTATTTCACGAACTTTCTTGTAGTTACTG